AACATATGACACGATGGGATCTGGGCTACTCACACTAGCTGTGGTATGATTAGAATAGGATGAGAGACATGAGGAAGACTTCTGGAAGGAGGTACTCAAGCAGTGTTTTGGACAAGAGAACCCAAGGTCTGGCAGGGAGAAAGGAGCAAGGTAACCTACCAAAGTCTTGGAGGAGAGCAAGCTGATGTTGAAACCGCCCTCATTGTTGTTTTGTTTGTTTTTTAAACAAGATTTCACTCTGTGGCTCAGGCTGGAGTGCAGTGGTGATATCATAGCTCACTGTAACCTCCAATTCCGGGGCTCAAGCAATCTTCCCAGCTTAGCCTCCTGAGTAGCTGGGACTATAGGTGTGTGCCACCATGCCTGATGCCCAACTAATTTTAAAATTTTTTTTGTAGAGATAGGGTCTTGCTATGTTGTCCAGGCTGGTCTTGAACTCCTGGCCTCCAGTGATCCTCCTGATCCTCCTGCCTTGGTCTCATAATGTGCTGGGATTACAGACATGAGCCACCATGCCCAGCTTCTATATATTTGTCTTTTTCTTTTTTTTTATAATTTAAAGTTTCATTTAACAGCCACTTTTCCTCACACTCCAGCACATATATTGGATTATGATAAAACCATTTGCCTTAGACACAGGTTCGCAGCTATAAGTTAACCATTCAGCCAAAATTTTTTCCAAGGGACTTTCAGGTAGAACATTTCTATGTTACAACAAAACCCACAAATAACAAACACAGACAATACAGACAATACAGAGAATTCTTAACACAAAATTCCAGGCATATCAAACGAATGGCAATCCAAAGGGGACAAACACTACCCCAAATGACACCTTGGATGGTGCCCCAAATGCTCTGCCAAAGTTTCCCAGGCCAGTGTGCATCGGGACACAATAGAATGGCTCCCGTGCTGCCGAGAGGTGCAGAGGAGGAGTGGCTGGCCTTTAATGGGGCTAGCGGTGGGAGCGAGGGACAGCCCAGCTACTGTCGGCATGGACGGATGACCAAGGCCACATGAGACAGTGGTCTCAGCACATGCCAATCTCATGTGGACAGATGACTGGCAACTAAGGGCCCACATGTATACACACACACACACACACACACACACACACACACACCTCTCTCTCTTAGTGCCCTGGAACAAAGATAGAACTCTGAACTGATTGAGATACAGTTTTGAGTCCTTTGGTGAAATGGAGGCCAAAATGGAAATTATAGAAAAATAAAGAAAAATTTGCATTTCTGTAGACTAAGATTTGTACCTGCGACTGTCCAGTGCTAAATGATAAAGATTTTCTTTCAGTTGATTTGCCTGGGATTCTAATCGACTTTCTAGAGGATTTGGGGCAGAACTCTCGGATATTTAATGTCACAAGTTTTAGTTCTGATTTTGCCTTTTGGGCTCAATGTTGCATTCCCTTAACTCCAGAGAATGCTGAAGAACAATTAATTAGAGTAACCCAAGTTTCTGTGAAGAGTAAACACAGCAATGAGTTGGAAAATCAGCACATAGTGGGCCATGGCCAGACCTGCCCATGGAAAGCCCCTCAGTGGGTGTACATAGAAAATTCCTAGGTCCTGTAACATAAGTGCAGATAAACAGAAGTTGCTCAACGTGGAGCACTGGCACAGGAAAAAAGAGCAATTGCGTCAATATTGTGCAGTAATGCACCTGAGAACCCCAAACCTGCGCATAGGCCTGGGGGATGTGGCTTGCTGGGTGAAAAATGACAGCCTGTGATGGGATATAAATCGTCTCTGGGGGCTGCAGGCCCCGTCTGGAGGGGAGAGGAGGCTTTGTTCTGGGCTCCTGGGGCCTGGTAGGTTCCTCATCCTGAGGGCTGTTGCCCACGGCCACCACCCTAGGTGCGTCCAGTTTAGGAACAAAAGGGGGACTCTGGAAGGCTGGGTGTTATGCATTTGTGGTCATCTATTTTGCAATACTGAGTAATGAGTATTTTCCTGAGTATTTTTCAATACTCGCGAGTAATGGGATATGTGTGTGAACTAGTTAATCCTAATTTGGTTTTACTCTTCAGGGTGGATTCATTAGTGAATAAAAGAAACAAGTCGATTCTAGTCTGTGTCAACAATTTAGGTTGCTTTATTTGCACACAGAAGTGTTAAAAGTAATACTTGATTTAGTGGAACCGGCGGATTTTTTTGTTTGGTCAGGAGTAATCCAATAGGGCTAATTGCCTTGTATGAATAAAGGGTAAAAATGGGCAACCTGATAATCATGCCATCAGTGCAGGGCTGGGCGCCTCGAGCCCACTGCTGGGATGTCTCCCAGGATAAGCCCACTTCCCTTCACCCCCCACCACCTAACCATAGCAACCCAGTCTTTGTGTTTGCTTTAAAACCCTGCCTCCAACATTTGCAGGCTGGGGCAAGAGTGCACACAGAGATCACATACCATGTGTCTGAACATTTAAAAGCTGTAAATTCAGCTAAGAAACCATGATATAGAATACATTCTGTCCTCTTGCCTTGGAAATGTATCTTCAGAGTGACCCAGACTACCAAGTTCGAATATAGAATTCTCGGACTTCTCAGAGGTCCACCTGTTGGCCCCCGTGTCCTCGTTTTCTGGAGACTGCCAGTTCCATCTCACATTTTAAAGGCACCCCAGTCTGCATAGCCCATTCTTTATGAATGGCTGCCTGCTGGTCACACCTCAGGCCTGGGGTGAGCACAGCATGGGACAGACCATCCTCCAGACTCGGACCCCATGAAGAGGACTAAAGTGGGTTCAAGGCCCGTGGGCAGGGAATTCTGGGATCCTGGGTACCAAAGAGTGGTCTAGAATGTGGGGTATGGGCTTTGGGTGGACACATTCCCTGGGCCCAGTGACTCGTCACCCTGTGGGGAGAGGGTGCCCAAGGAAGGCCAGAGAGAGACCCTTTAAAGGACTGGGTCTAGGACAGCAACCCGTTTTCCCTGAGTGTTTCTGCTGTTTTTTTGTTTGGGGGAGCAGAGCGTTGTAGGAAGAAGAGAGAGAGAGAGAGAAATCTCTTCTGAATCATAGAGGTTTTTTTTTTCTTAAGATTAATTTTATCTGGTATCTAACAAAGGTCCCTGCATTTGATAAAATTTGGTCTGAGCTGAGACTTGCTTTTATTACAACAGCCCCATTGGTAATAAGCTTTATAGAGTGGGGACATACAGCCCCTACTTTTGTCCAGCCACAGGCAGCTACTGATACTTTCTGTGTGAGATGACAACTTACAGATGCAGAGCCAATCACAGCCCAGGAGTTCTGGTTGCACCTGCTCACGTCCGTGCTGGACTTGGCATGTGCCGAATGATTACTTGGGTCCAGTAAGAGTTTCTGTTTCTCCCCACAAATTCAAAAATGGACCCCTCAAGTGGGTGGTATAAATTCTTGAACCTAAGTCCCTTGTCTGTCAGTCTACCATGGACCCTTTGGCAGGTGCCTCTTCCCACTGGCCTTTGGGCCCCATGGGCAGTGTGGACGGCAGCCTCATGCAGCCCCATGCGGTGGGCTGAGGAAATAGGCTGGGTGGACCGGACCTCTGATCATTCCAGGGCCTTCAGAAAACCGCAAGAAGCCAGGAAAACCACCACGTTCTCCACGGAGGTAGCAGGGGGAAGGAACAGAGTGGGTCTGAGAGTCAACTAGATTCTAGATTCAACTTCACTGAGAATTTACCAGTGAATCTGTACAAATGTCTTTCTTCTTTCTCAGGTTCCTTATCTAAAATGATGAGTGTGGATTAAATGATCCAAACCCACTTCTAGTGCCAAAATTCTTAGGTCATGTGCCTCTCATTGACTGAGGTGCCTTGTAATGTAAACAAAAGCAAAAGTAAAAGTCCCTTTTGCCTCTTCAGCACAAACAGACTTCATTCTCAGGGTGCAAAGGGGAGCCCATGTCCTGGAGGGCCCTGAGAAGGGAGCCAAATCCACTTGCCCTGAGACAGCAGGGGCAGGCCTCCTTCCACCCACCCCCGCGTGGCGGCCCTGGACTGCCTGCTCAGCCAGGCAGTCCTCCTGTGGGCTTCAGGGGAACAGGTCAATACCCTCCCCGCCCACGTCAGTTTAAGCGAGCACCCGCCTCTGTGCTTGCGTGTCAATTGACGCGCAGCAGATCATGTGGTTTGTAGACGTATTGATATAATTTCAATCTGGAGCTCCTTCCCTGTGACCTTGATAGCTCGGATGACTTACACGCGTCCTCTCAGCCCCTCCCTGTTCAGGAAAAGCCATTAATGGGTGAAACAGAACACAGTGAGAGGGAAGTTGCTGGAGCAAGCTTTCCTCACCTTCAAAGTCCTCCCAGATATCCAGTCTGCCTCCCGTTCTTAGAGATTGTTCTAGATCTTAGATAAGCACCACACCCAGAGGTAAGTACAGCCTGGGCAGCAGCATGTGGAAAGGTCCTCAGGTGCCTTGAGTGTGGGGCTGCCTTGAGTGTGGCTGTCATGAGGTTCACAGGTTTGTGGGGGAGACTGAGTGTCTGCATCGCTGGATGAAAGGTAAATGGCCTCAGCCTGTTTACGTGTCTCCCACTGGTAGTCCCGACCTGGCGAGTTGTAGGAGATTGTGAGGAGGTTGATTTGCTGAGCCCTGGAGCCCGAGCAGATGTTCAGTGGCAGAGGCACACCGAGCACCACGGGCCCTTTCTCTTCTCCTAGTGTCCACATCACCTCTCTCCCTCCCCCAGCCAGCTTGGTCAGCTCAGGCCCCACAGCGTTTCTCATCACACTTTTCTTCCCTGGCATCTGCCCTTATGTTCCCGCTTTTCTCATATGAGCATGTTAGGGTGCTGTTAGCAGCGCTGTGGGATGAAGACACCTCAGGGCCTCTCACCTGAAGATAAGAGGTGAACAGTCAAAGTGTCTGAGTCCATTTGTGTGGCTATAAAACAAATACCTGAGACCGGGAAATTTACAAATAATAGAAATTTATTTTTCACAGTTCTGGAGGCTGGGAAGTCCAAGATCCAGGTGCCGGCAGGTTTGGCGTCTGGTGAGGGCTGCTCTCTTCAGGATGGTGCCTTGTTGCTGCGCCCTCACGTCCTCACGTGGTGAAGGCGGAACAGCAGGTAGGGCTGAATGCTGTGTGGGCCTCTTTCGTAAGGGCCTTGATCCCCTGCACGAGGGAGGAGCTGATATTTAAAGGTCCTGTCTCTTAAATTATTGCTTGGGGATTAAGTTCCAACATGAATTTTGGAGGGACACAGACATTCAAACCACAGCACAAGGATTGGGGGAGGGGGTCTGTTTTTTAGGAAGCCGGTTTGGTGAAATCGTTTTGGTTGATGCCTCCTTTGTCGAAGCTGTGAAGAAGGCCAAGTGCACCTCAGCCCCGGCTTCCCTTTCTCAAATGGCTTTCTCACTCTTTGTTCCATCCCCCAGCCACAACTCTGCCCTGTGAGAACCACTTTCCATGAAAGTCTCCCCCACCCGTTCTTTATTCTGCTAAGATTTAAAGCCAGTGCTTTCCCTTCCCCAGGAACATTTGTGTTTGAAGCCTCATCACTAATTATGGGCTGAGAGGCTCTATCGCCTGTTAAAGGAATGTCAGCAAACATCAGCTGAAGGGGAGGATGTGGGGATGGGGAACACCTTCCTTGATACTCAGCTCACCTGGCATTGAAGGTCCTGTGCCAGTAAAGGACAGTTCAAAGTTTGCTGACTGGTCAAAAATTTTTTTCAAAAGTTTTTGAAAACTCTTTTTTCAACACTATACTCTGGGATGCTAACTGAAGAGGAATAAATACTCCATGGTTGATTTTAAAATATCACTTAAAGTTTATAAATGAAGGAAATGAGTCCATACCCTACCACAATAATTTAACTTAGCTGGGTCATCTTACACTGAATGTGGACTATTCTTAATGGGCCATCTTGTATAACATTGCTCACTAGCAGTTGATGCAGATGGAGAATATTTAGCGGAAAAAGATTTAGAAGTCTTTTACTCCCGGTGACTCAAAATGTGGTTCATGGGTCAGGAACAGCTAAGTTTGGGAACCATCAATCTAGTCCATTCTCTCTGTTCTACTGACAAGGAAAATGAAGCCCAGAGTGGTGAAATGACCTAATCAAATTACCAACAGATTAAAATCCAGATCCCCTGACCACCAGACCACCCTAGCCTACACACACAAAAAATCATGTTGTCACATATGACTGAAAAGACTATGTTTGTGCGCGGGGAGTTAGCTACGCTCCCAGCAAAAAATTGGGTCCCTTAGGTAGGGGTCGTCACAAAGGATAAGAAAATAATAGAAAATGAAAAATAACAAATAAAAGAATACACAGATGAAGGTATAGTTTTATAGATTTGTAAAGATAAAAGGCAAAAAGTGGGATATCCAGGGGTCCTTATGATATCCCCGTTAATCATAAGGCCATGAGTGAAGATTTATATGAGTACTTATAGGTACAGAGATAGGTTGCCAGGAGTAACAGATTTACATAATAACAGGTAGTTCGTTTTGGGTTAAAAGTCTTTCAAAAGGCATCTATAGATCCCTTAACTAACTCTGGTTACAAAGTCTTTCAAGGACAAACTTCTAAAATAAAGCTATTACTTAACAGAAGGGTTAAACAGGGATATAGTGGCTCCGTATTTCTTTATCTAGTTATTGCAGACAGAAACAGGTCATCAGAAGTCAAGCAGGAACTGTCCCTTGGGCTAACTGTTTTTAGCCACAGGTATCTGTCTCTGGGTGGACACTCTTTGATCAGCACTCATCCCGTGATTCCATGTAGACTTTGCTTTGTCCTTCAAAGCAGGTGAGAACCACAGGGTTGAGACTGCAGCAGTCACCTTGGAAAGCAGCTGCTACTGACCTTTTGAGATGCCCTCCTGAGGTGGAGCAGCTTTGGATATGCAAACTAACATGTTCACATATTCTTTCAGGTCAGAGCCCTGCAAAACTCCTGAGACCATATCTGTCTCTAATATAGTAATATTAATTTATGGAGCAACACTTGTGGAATTCCTTCCAAAAAACAGAAGGGGTTTTGCTTGACACAAAACTGAAGGCTGGCAGCAACACAAAACAATCAGAGGACTTAAGACTGGTTCTCAGGAAGTGTACAATAGGGCAAAGAAATGGTGGCAAACCCAATAAATAAAAACAAATGTAAGGAAAGGAACCCATGAACACATTTGCCACTCTGCACTAGGAGACATGCATGTATGTGTTGCAATTGTTTCCTCCTCCATAATCCCATAGAATTTTATTTCTGTTTCCCTAGGGAACCGCTTCCAGTCTCCACTATATCAGAATTCTCTATGTGTTGAGCTTTGTGCCTGGCCCATGAGCAACAGAGTGCCAAACCCTTTCTTAAAGATCTTTGTTGCCAACCTGCTAGTACTCTGCACATAGTAGGAACTCAATAGGATTTGAGGAATGGAATGCCGGGTGGGGATGGGGTGGTATTCAAAATAGTCATCTGATCAAATACTTATTGCTCCAGATATGTGCTATGGAATGAATGTTTGTGTCCCTCCTCCCACCCCCTTTCCAAATTTATGTGTTGAAACCCTAATCCCCAAGGTGATGGTATTTGGAGTTGGGGCAATTAGGTTTAGATTAGGTCATGAGGGGTGGAGCTCACATGATGAGATTAGTGCCCTTATAATAAGAAAAGACCAAAGCCCTCTCTCTCTGCCACATGAGAACACAGCAAGAAGGCAGCCATCTGCAAACCAAGATGAGTGCCCTCATCAAGTAGCGCATCTGCTGGCCTCTTAATCTTGGACTTCCCGGCCTCTAGAATGGCAAGAAATAAATGTTTGCTGTTTAGGCTACCCAGGCTACAGTATTTTACATAGCAGCCTGAATGGATTAAGACAATGTCCATTACACTGAACTAAGCAGTGAGTAGAATACCAAGTTTATAAAACACAGTCCCACCCTAAGTATATTTGTAATCTAGTAGGGGAGATGAGTCATGCTCTTTAAAAAATATATTCAAGATTATAAGAAAATATGTTACAAGGGACATTTGAAGGATGTAGACCCAAGCAAGTTTCCCAACCCTATAAAATTCTTTTTATAACGAATCATTTTAAATGGTCCCTTTATTTTCCTGAACTAGAATTCATGAATGATATAACTAACTTATACATGAACAATATAACTAACTCACAATCAGTATAATAAATTCCTTAACTCTGATATAAAGAAGAAATAAAAGCTATTTGTAATAAAATAGTGTGTTTCAATATATAAATGCTCAGGCACATTTACGCCAAAAATATAATGAAGTAGTCAGTTATCAAATCAATGTTACTGGGACAGCTACTCATGCAGACTAATACAGATTTATTGTCCTGGAGACTGCCGTACAAGTAGCATTACTGTAGATAATGGATGTTTCCAAAGTGGTGAACAAAGGTAAAGTTCTGAACAAAGCAAAGCATGTTTTCCCCGAATTTTCACGGAAGTTGAATTCTTAGAAAATGCAGTGTACGTTAAGACTGTGCAAACAGTACTTTGTGTGTAAAAAGGAATTAGGTTCCAGGCTCAGATAATTGAAAATAGGTTTTTCACTTACCTCACTGCCTGGCAGTGCTATAGAAAGTCGTGGGACACATGAACCAATTCTTCCTTATCTGGAACTTACTATACATCACAGTCTGTCCAGCACCAACTCCACCACTGATGCCAGCAGAGCTCCCACCCAGCCCTCATCACGGTGACAACAAGCATCCCCTAACATTTCCAAAACACCTCTAGTGGGTAACAGGACTTCTCCTGAGAGCCCTGGTGGAAGGAAAGCAGGGCAGAGCTGGGCTTCTCCTACTTCAGTGCACCCTCACGTCCCTGGGGATGTTGCTAAAATGCAGATTCGGGAGGTCTGGGGTGAGGCCTGAGAGTCTGCATTTCTACTGCCTATTCCCAGACCAAGTCTGGAGAGGTCAGAGGAAGAAAAGATAACTTTGGGTTTAGGTAGCAAAGATTTCATAGAAAAGACAGGAACACAAATAGGGCCTTGAAGGATAATCAGACGCGGAGCCTATGACATCCCACAGGCGGGGCTGCTGGGAGGCAGGTGCACTGGGGCAGTGGAGAGGGGACCAGCAAACAGTGCCCAGCGTGAGCAAACAGCCTTGAGCCTACATCGGCAGCACCGCTGGACGGGCAGGGTAAAAACAACAACTCCCTCTTGGGGTTGAGTCTGCCAGACCCTGGTGAAGTTCATTTCTTTCAATAAATCCAGCAGCTTCCCCTTTGATAAATACTGTCAAGGCTGGAACATGTGGTGCTAACAAAATATGGTTTTAATTTGGGGCCCACTGCACTCACAGTTAAATACTGTGTGTGTACGGAAGCAGACTCACAGAGCGCCAAGTTAATATGCCTGGGCTGAAAATGGCTAAACCCACGAGGATTCAGTTATACAGATTTTGCTGCTCTGAAAGGCAACCTAATCACCATCATCAGTTTTAATGCTCCAAGACTCTTTGTGAGCATGGAAGCTTTTAAAGTTCAGCCATTTGTGTGCTTGCATCCAGCTCAGAAGTGGTGGCACATTTGTTTTTCTGTTATTTTATGCCTGCCTTATTGTCATATGTTGTTTGACATTCGGAAGATAACACGCTGTTTTAATCAACGACTCAACACCGCATTAAAACTTGATGGTCCATAGCTTTGTGGCACAGGGAGGTGAGGGGAAGGAAATGAGGATAAGAGTTTAGCAACAGACCAAGGCTTGTTCTGGTGGGATTCATTCCTGGGAACACAGAAACTCTCAGTGTTTTTGTGTGTCTGTGTGTGTCAGTTTGGGAACAGCCCAGGGAAAGGAAACTGGCTAAACGAGTTTCTGTCTGGCCTTGTCATGGACGTTGCTGGTAACTGGACCTCCAGGCCATCATGAATAATGAAGTCTGCTTCTCCCAGAGCGTAGGTCACAGCAACTGCACAGAGGCATCGCCCAGCAAACCAAAGATGACAGCACCTGGCCAGTAATCTTATGGGGAAACAAACAAAGCTGGGAATGTGGTCAGCAGCAGGTGCCCTCAGGGCGGTGGGAGGGCAGAGAAAATGAGGAAGCCCGGACTGACTGCGGGACACAGAGCAGTGGGCCCTTCCCAAGACCAGCCCCTCTGGAAGGTGAAACTGAGGGAAGGATCAAGCCAAAGATCAGAATAATTTCCTCAGTGGACTCGGAGCTTATCACAAAGCGAATGCCGGTACAAAGGGAGCAGCAGGAATTCTTTCCAGGAGGCACCTGCCATGTTGTAATTTGACATTATCAAAAACGTATTTCTTTTATTGTTATATAATCACAGTGACAGAAAAAGCCCGAGATCTTGTGAGTAGCAACTTCCCAGTTAGTCATTCGTCAGCGAGGGATCTTCTAAGGTAGAAAAGCTTTGTGAGAATCCTTACACTTTGAATATATGTACTTATTTGTTGTGGCAAAAGTGAGGCATTTTTGCTGTAGACAAACGGAAGACACTGAAAAGTGCGGACATTGTTTAAAAATCAAGGAGTGTCCTCTTAATTATGAAAGGAAGTCTTTTTCTGGGCTGCTTAAAATTTTAAGTTGTTATAGAAGGTGCTTAGGAGTAATCAGTGAGGACTGAGTAGATTGGGGGACTCTCTGGGTCCCCTATGTTTTCTCTGGTTTTCTGGAGGGGGAGAGGAAAGGCAGCCCCACCCCACCCCAAAAGCTGTTAGTTGGTTTGGAGCCAGGGGGTTCCTGGTCAGATGTCATTCAAGCCAAGTGAACATCCAGGGCATGGCTGCATTTGGCGCTTACTTTTTTCCTTGGATTGCTTCCTCACTAATGGAAGGGGTTGAGAGGAGGGCCTGGCAATTAATCCGGAAAAATAATTCAGACTTCTACTGGTACAGAGACGTGTACCATGAGAAAGGGCAGGGGAAAGGAGGATCTGTTCCTGCGTATTCATCACCGTGATGAAATGCTATAGGGACAAGAGGTCGGTGGGTGTTTAACCCAAACCAAATTAGCAAGTGGAACAAGCCTCTAATTGGAGGCCTGGATTCCAAAGCCATTCTCCACCTGACACCTTTTAAAGATATCGCTGTGGCATCTAAATTTCATGGATTTCGCTCATTGCAGGTCCCCAAGCACGTGCAGCAATGATACAGCACAGCACCTGCTTCCAGCAGCCCTGAGCGGCGGGGCTAAGTGGAAAGAGTCAGCATTTCTCTTTTGGGTTCCCTGCCACTCCAATTTGTAAGTTTTTAACCCCCTCCAGGCACCTTGTTCTGCCCCAGCATATCTCTGCCATGCCAGTAACTAAGAACAAAGATTTTTATCAGGAGAACTTCTCCCCTACTCTCAGTCCTTTAGGGTCTGGGGAAACTGACGCCCCCTCAGACTGTGGCGTGGAGCCTTTGAACCACACCTGGACCAATTATTTTACCTTTTTTCATGGCCACATGACTGGTTCAGGGATAGGAACATGACCCAGGCAGAACCCATGAGATCCAGTGAGATTTTCCCAGGTACTTCTGGGAAAAAGGCTCTCACTGTTTCCTCATATTGCACACCTGAGAAGGTGCAGGACTGAAGCTGTTACCATTCTCTTATGGCCACAGGAAGGTGGGATTAATTCTAGCAATGATGTAGGTAGCTCTGCAAGTTGAGAACAAAAACAAAAAAGCAAAAAACCTGTGTTCTCAAAAAGCAAAAACCTGTGTTCTGATAACACTATATAATCCCTAAATCCAGTTATGTCTGGAGCCAGCCCTACCGTGGAATTTTAACCTGGACTAGTTGATAAATTCTCTTTTTGCTTAAGCCAGGTTTACTGCCACTTGCAATCAGAAAACAGATACACCCAAGAACTTTCTATTTTTTCTCTTTATTAAAGAGAAAACCTGCTTTCAGGAAAAGATCGTCCATTCTAAATTATGAACAACTATTAATAATTAATAATAATGGTTCAAAGTATGACTCCTTCAAGAGACTTTCCGGCTTTCAGAATTCATTCAGCAAATCTTGAGTGCCTTCTGGTGTAAACTGACAGGGGAGAATATGCTAGGAGGAAAGGGTACCCAAACTTTCCAGCCGAACCCAGTATTTTAGTATCTAATTTTGGCCATTCAGATCAGTTCCAGCTTCTGATAATGGCTGAGTAAATTGTATCTGACTAACCCTCCTGCCAATGACAATTATACATTCTGGACCTCAAACACAATAATAACAATAAAACCTGTTTGAAGGTCCTGGAAAACAACCAGTGTGGTTTGCTTCTGCAGACAAAAACTGGAGAAGACATGACCCTCGAGAAAAGGAAATCACATGGGATAAGATACACATTTCTCAGACTTTTCCTTGGACAGCACTATCCACTTCCCACAGTGGATAGAGACAGAGCTCATGCAGAAAGTGGTAGTCCTACTGAGCTGAAAAGTCAGAGGCTGGAGTTTGGGTCTTCCACAGCAGCAGGAAATTGGGGAGGAGAGAATCCTGCAAAGGGAGTCTCAGAGGGGGAGTCCCCAAATCTGTGCACAAATATCTCTGACTCCTGTGGATCAACAGGGTGAGGAGCAAGGAGTGCAGCAAAAAATAACAGCTGGAAGGCTGAAAAGAGTTCCTTTGTGTTGGAAAGATGGAGCTTAGAGTTCAATTCCCATCAAGTTAGAGGTGCATGAAGAACACCTAAGGCTTTCTGTTGAGACCACAGGAGTAAGGATTACTTCTCAGAACTAAAGGCTATGTTCTAGGACCAAAGGAAAAACCAAAATAGACCCACCATAACAATGCCTGAAATCATGTCTCCATAGCTTCATTGTTCAATATAGTAACTTCTAGGCACACGTGACATTTGAAATTTAATTCAAATTAAGTAAAAATTAAAATCTAGCTCCTTAGTCACACTAGCGACATTTCAAATCCTTATAGCCACATGTGGTTAATGGCTATTGTATTGGACTGCACAGATTACTGAGCGTTTCTATCATCACAGAAGTTCTATTAAATGGCATTACTCCATAGGATCAAGAAACTATGCTACTAATTTAATTGCTTGATGGGACAAATCTCAAATTTCTTCCTAGGAAGATAGCAGAATACAGTCTCTTTAATGATCATCCAAAATGCTCAGTATGTAATTTTTAAAAACATATTACTAATTGTACAAAGAAGCAAGAAAATGTAACCCATAGTGAAGAGAAGCAATGGGCAATAAACACAGACCCACAGACGACCCAGATGTTAGAATTTACAAAGACTTAATTACTACAATAACTAAGTTAAAGAATCTATAAGAAAATATACATGTGGTAGGTGAAGAAATGGAAAATTTCAAGAGAGATATGGAAATTTTAAAAAAACCAAATGGAGATCCTGGCACTCAAAAATATATATCCGAAATTGAAAACTCATTAGTTAGAAATTAGTAGAACAAAGAACAAAACATATGAAATTATCAGTGAACTTGAGGACAGGTCTATGGATATTATCTAAGCAGATAGAAAAAAAGACCAAAAGAAAAAGAACTTGTGGGATCATATCAAGCAATCTAATATACGTGTAATTAGAGTTCCAAAAGGAGAGGAGAAAGAGAATGAAATAGATGAAGTATTTAAAGAAAAATTGGCTGGAAAATTTTCAAATTTGGTCAAAAACAGTAATCCTAGCAAACTCCAAACAGGATAATTTCAGCCATTGAGATGTCTCTGTGACCCCAAATCCAGTGTCATCTACTCACTGACAAGCTACAGGGTAATATGTGGACCAAGAACTTCTGTAAGTATACTAGGGCCTGAGGTGAGGGTACAAATATTCAGAGTCATTGATGACACAGAAAATTCCAGAGGTCCCTTCTCAAGATTCTGCTGACTCCAGAAAACAACTCTAGAGCACACTTTTCCTACCCAGTGATCTGACAGTCCTCCTTCAGGCCACCCTGAGATAGGGTATCCACACATTTTGAAAGTATTATGTTGATTTGACTCCAGTTTAAATTCAACTTGAAGAAAATGTTATATTTAGATGGAGAATAACAATGATTTCTGTAGAGCAAGAGAAAATGAGGGAAAAAAAGAAATAGATAATAAAGCTAACTCAAAGCTACATAGTCCCATATCAGGAATCAAGTGGAATGGAATAAAGAAAAAATGGGTCAGAATTACCCTCAATGATACATACATTCTTGCTAGGCCCTTAGTTACATGGATCAGGCATTTATGAGTACCCGTGGCACTTAGGATGCTTTCTGTGGCAAGTAACAACAGCAGCAGCAACAATAATCATAATCTTAATAACTTATCAAACTAAGTATAAGGAATTTTATTTCATAAAACTGAAATTTCAGGACTAAACTTTCCGGACATTTAGTTACTCCTCAGATGGCTGAACAAAATGCCAGACTTTTTAGTTGCAGACTTGGGTGACTACACAGATCCAGAGCTGGTTGATTCAGTAGTTCAATGATGTCAACAAGGACTCACATTCTTTCCCTCCCCATTCTGTTCTTCTTGTCAAAGGCATCATCTGAAAGTTGGTTCCCTTCAAGTTTCAACAGGGCTGCATACTTGTTCACATCTAGCAGGAGAAACAGAAAGCAAGAAAACTCTTCTCTTAAGCAAGGAATATAAATCCTCCACTTTAGTCTTATTCAGCCAAGTTAAGTTTAACCTATAAGGAAAAAGGCATTTGTCTTAGATGCTAGTAACAAGATTTTAGAACAGATACAGGTAAGGACTTTCAAGTCTGTGTTTCTAGACAGTTTCCTAAAATGGGCCTCTGATATTAGGGAGATTCTGGAGTTACATATCTTGATAATTTAGAAGTAAATATCCCTTAGCAACAGTTAATTACAGTTTCATTTATTTTACGTTATTAAAGAGCAAACTGATGAGCCCATGGAGTTGCTATTGAAGCTTTGTCTGATTGCCTACATCATGGAGCTTTCTTTAATATTAGACGTTTTTCCAGCCCCTCTAGGTAAGGCAAGTTCTGATAGGCAGCCATGTGTGTGTTTGAGACCTTTTGTAAGCATTTTAGGTGATAGATGATAGATAATATATTGCTAATAGTAAGTCAATCCAGTCATAGCACCACCCAGAAAATATTGAGGGCTCTAACAATAGCAGCAACAAAATCCAAAACAATAACAACGAAACCAAAAGGAGAGGGAACACTGACTTTGATGAGTTGAAAATTATGGGGAGAGTTTTGACTGGAAATATCCAGGTGGGAATAACTTCTTATGTGACTAAGCAATCCTGTTGTGTACTGAAACCAGTTTGCTAAGTGTGTTTTCCACACATAATTGAATTTGCGCTCTAGGTTGGCCTGTCCACGAAGGAGTATGAGTACACTTCTTGGGGAATGAGAAAAACAATGGCAAACATGTGTGGTCTATTCATCAAGATGAAGTCACAGTCTGTATTCTAAGAATTAGTAATCAAGGTCACAATGAAAGAAAAAAGACTTTCTGGGAAGGTGAAAGGAAAAATTGGTAAGTTTAGTTCTACTGTTTACATACTGACTTTTGTTTTTCTTAAGGATACCTACAGAATTTGTTTAGTCATCCAAGGTGCAACTAAAAGTCCTGACAGTTTAGTTCTGTGTCATCTTTTTAATTAATAACAGGTGTCAGTTACACTGCCATGCACCTGGAGGTGACCTTGGAGGTAGCCCAGCTGCCCCTTAAGCCCACTCATTGCTCTAGATGTGCTGAGCGTGGGTGGAAGCAGAGGGTGGATACCCAAGCAGAGGTGAAGTGAAGTGAGCGTAGAATAGAATTACAACATGGAGAAAATCACTGTAGGACAATACAAAGTACGAGGTCGAATGATGAGTGAGAGGTAGACATGGGGAAAACAAGAGAACGCTGGCTTAAAGCCATCCTTGGTGGTAGTGAGAGGGGGTTCTTTTCAAACCACAGTGTTTGGCAAACTAGGAAATAAAGAGACAAAGGTAAATATCATGCCAGACTCAGCAAATAGCAGCTAGAACCAAAGAAGCCCAAGGACAGCTCTGAGCATGGAGAAAATACTGCTGGGTAGGCATTGTTCCCTAGAGCCGGAGCATGCAGAGTCACCGTTTAAAGTGAAGGGCAAGTAGAGTTGGAGGATGTATACATCTTTGAAAAAGGAATAATGCTTTCTGGACACAGACATTGGTTTCAAAATTATCCCAATGGCAATTTTTTTCACAAGCCATGACCCCCTCCCCACATGCTCCAGTCGAAGACTCCCTCTCTAGCCCTGGTTAATTCTGCTGCCTCTGCTCACATCAGGGGGCCTGGGCGTCTCAACCCTGACATTGTCTCCTCCACTTCCTTGCCTGAATTGAAACTCGTGGCCCTCTTAACTATGCTTCCACACCCTATTGCCCACGATTAGGAAGTGAGGGTATCTGCCTCCCCATTCTCTGATGTGGCCTCCAAGCATTCCTGTAAAAATGGCTGCTCCTCTAAGTTCGGGTATTGTCCTTCTTGTCCGCTGGCCTCCTGGAAACTCCCTCTCAGTCCCCAAGGACTCTCCCTTCTAGCTCACAATATTTCCCCACACCTCAACCCCACCTTCCTCCTGAGAGACGTCACTGTACCCATGCGTGACCTAGTCAACACTCTGGCCTCCAAATTCCTTAACGTACTTTGCCACCTCCAGCATCTGGTCTTGTGCCCCTGGGCTGGTCCAGTCACACCCTGGACCTTGTCATCTCTCAAATCTCCCAGTCTGACCACACCTGCTCTGCTCCTCACTACACGAGGCCCTTAGAGCCATGGCTACTCGGCTTTTCCTCCTTCATTAACCTGCTCTGCCTTTGTTTCTCTTTGAAGTCACATTAGATTCCACAGTCCATTATTTCAATCACTGTCTTGCTAATATCCTGAACTTACTGGCCTATTTTTCCCTTTTATCACATCCACCTAGAAAAACAAACAAACAAAGAAACCAATCCTAGAAGAACTCAACTGCATACCTTGCTTATGTTTCCTCCTAGGCCACACAGCATGACTGGAGAAGGCCCAGCTCACAGTCTGCACCCAGTCATCCCTTCCACTGATGCTCGAACCGCCTCTACCCCTGGGCAATCCCACTGGCCTTCTCCGGGCCCTCACCCTTCAGTCTCTGAAACAACCAGCTCAAACTTTCTCCACTTCTCCGAGCTTTGAGCCTCCATCTCATCCCCGCACTCTCAGCGGCTGTCTTTGCTCTTACTCAGAGGGCAGAGATGCCCTCTGGTGGGAATGACTTCATGGCCTGCCACCTGCTGCTATAAACCAGCCTGTACCTGTGCCGGCCTTTGCTCTTTCCTTCTGACAAAATGGAAGTGATGTCTCTCCTCTTACAAAAGTCAATTTTCTTCCCCATGCTGTGGATTCCAGCCTTCTCCAGAAAGATATGTTACCAATGATCCCCTTTTTCTATCTTTGACTGGTTCCTTTCTAATGGGTTCTTTTCATCAGCATCTAAACATGCTCTAGTCACTGCCATTCTTAAAAAAATTCCATTCTTGGACTCTGGGGGCTGGGCCTAGAAGAAAGGATGGATGGATGGATGGAAAGAACATGAGCAAGGTGAATGAAGGGTCAGGCGAAAACACCTTCCTGAAACTGCCTGTTTGCTGGGTGCAAAGGTCAGCTAAAAATAGCTTTAACAACCTCCTTTCATGGAGGTTGTTAAAGAAATTAGCAAATGGCCCTGACCCTTTGCACATGTCCTTGGAAATAAATACAGGGAGGAGCTTAGCTGAGGCGGCCATTTTCTCCTTCAGACGTTGGCCTCCTCTCTCAACACTGTTTTCGAGTAATTATTCCTTCACTATTGAGCTCAGGAGCAAAATGCAGACACTACACTGGACCCTAATTTTCTTTCCAGATCTACTCTTTTCTTCTCCTCCTCTTTGCTCCCAAGCTGAGTGGGAGAGCTGTGCGTAGGCACTGTCTGCCCTTATTCAATGCCTGTTCACTCATCAGCTTCCTCCAACTGGCTTCCTTTTGTGCTCCTCTATTAAAACTGTACCAAAGCACCTAGTGAACTCCACGGCCCCGAATCTCAATGGGCACTCCTCGGTCTTCATATTATATGTGACCTCTCAGCAGACTTCAACAAAGTTGACCCTCCCTTCTTTTGGGAAAAACTATTTTTCTTGGCATCTAGGCTACCACACTCTCCTGGCTTTTCTCTCTCCCTTGGGGCTCCTTCTCTGTCTCTTAGCCAGCTTTTTCTCTTCTACCTGACCTTTAATTGTGGGAGCTCCTCGGGCTCAACCTCAGATCCTTTTCTGTCTGCTTAAGTCACCTCATCCACTCTTATGGCCTAGTCCCTGTGCTGAGCTTTCAAATTTATAGAACAGACCAGACTTTTCTACAATCTCCCAAGCCACCACGTACCTGCTTAACACACACACCTCTGTTCCGAGGGGGGGGCAGGTCTATGCAAAGTCCTACTCCCAAAGTCTGAGGAAGCTGAGAGGCTGAAGAAAGAGGCTGACGTATCCAGTTTCTCAGAAAGAAATATTTAGTAGGGACTAGGGAAAGAAGCCATATCTCAGGCAGCAACTAGACAAGATGGTGGGGCCATTACCCCCCAGACCCAGGGCTTATTATATACCATAGGGAAGCAACGTATAGCACAATTGGTGTTGACCCCTCAGGGAAAGGCAGGAACTATGTGACTCTGCCTAAGGGCAGGATTTACAGTAATAGTAAAGAAGAAATCTTAGAGGCATTCCCTGAACAGGGGTTAAACAGAAGTCAACATGGCAGATTAGTATCCAAGATGGAGTTGCTTTAGCCTCCACAACATCAAACTAAGTTTACTGAGAACTAAGCTCATGGCCTTTCCTAACGTGCTAAGGAATTTTTCATTTTCCCCTCCAGATCCACGCTACCCGGGAGGCTGACATACTTGGCTATATCCACTGGCTCCCTTGCCTCTGGCTTTCCCCCAGGTGTGGCCGCTACAGATCCCTGGGAGGAGACTGGAGATTAGGGAGAGGATGAAGTCAAGGTGTTTATTCCCTTAGCTCCCTCCCTGAAGTTGCCACAGACCATGTGAGTCCCTGGACTGAAGGTCACGGCTTCTCTACGGGGCCTTCTCCACATGACCTTTCTCCCTAAACCGTGGGTGGTACTGCACAGCTGCTACTAGCTTTTGGTTATTGCCTTCTCTCTTGTGACGTCCCTGTGCCCTATCTACACTGTTGTAAATACCTCCCTCTTTCAATTATCCTAGTTTGAGCTTACTACTTGTTTCTTGCTGGTAACCTGACTGATACAGTAATCGATACTGGAAGTTGCACCAGGAAATAGATCCTCAAAATGGGATTCTGGGATTGGACAGTCCTGTTTGAGGAGCTGAAGGATGGAAATGGACCCTAGTGATTGGCATGCAGTAGCATCACACTGATTCAAGTTATCAGTGATCATAGCATGGGATGAAGTGTCGGTGAAGGACAGGACATGGGAAGATCAAGTAACTGGGGCTGCCTTTCTCCATTTCCTGATGCTATTACAGAATACCACAGGCCGGGTAATTTATAAATAGAAGTTTATTTGACTCACAGTTCTGGAGCTGGGAAGTCTAAGATTGAGGGGCTACATCTGGTGAGGGCCTTCTTGCTGCATCATAACATGGTGGAAGGCATTAGAGAGAACACCAAATTCCTGAGATAACTAATCCTCACCTGTGATAATGGCATTAATCCATTCATGAGGGCGGAGCCCTCATGACTAGTCACCTCTTAAAGGTCCCACCTATTAGTACTGTCAAAATGGCAATTAAATTTTAACATGAATTTTGGAGCATTCAAACCATAGCAGTGGCACTTAGTTGTTCTGTCAAAGGTAGTGATTTTAAAGATTGTGGCATCACCTGCCTTTTTCTTACAGCTACAGAGAGCATATATAGGCAAAAAGATAAATTAAGATCTATGACTATATATTGAAGAACACCTGTGGAGAGTCAAACCTCCATGACAATCTTGAGGACTCTCAACAACCTACAGTTGTTGCAGTTAACAATTAATCCTGGATGTCATTGCTAAGTGTTGCAGAGTTGCCATGCCAACGAAAGGTCCAACCTTGCCAGGTCTCTGATGCTAATGCAAGGCTCTAGGGGAGCATGGATGAGGCTGAGAACTTTGAACCTTAAATTCCACCAAGCCTTCTTTCTACAAAATCGTTTTCAGTGACTATACCTGGAACTGTTGCCTCAAAAGCTAATGCCTATTATCAGACCCACTCTCTTTCTTTATGCTTCCAGTCCTGTAACACCAATTAGATCCCAACACAGTCCAGAAAGAGAAATATATAAGACCTGCTCCAGGATAATAAAGCCTTTCCACTGAAAGAGTTACAAGATCATGACTGATGGGAGCCAGAGGAACATATGTAGGGGGAGATTCTGAGGGTGTTAGACCAAGGGGGAAGATATGTAAAGCTCCATCAGGCTAAATTTATGGACATGGGTCATCATCTAGGATTCAGGATTGGCTCAAGCACCAGAGAATTGTGTTTATAGTCTGTAGATTGGCTAATCAGAGCCTGGAGTCAATAATGGCCTGTGGTTATTTGGGTTGAAATTCTATAACTTCTCTGGCACATGGCAGAACAGTGGTTCTCACAGGATAATCCTTGGGCCATCAGCATCATCACCTTGGAACTTGTTAGAAATGGAAATTCCCAAACCCCACCCCTTTACTCCACACTCCAGGGGGTAGGCTTGGGAATCTGTGCTTCTCAAATGAGTCTGATGCACATTAAAATTTGGGAACTTCTGCTGTAAAGCAAATATTCACGTGCTAACAAATCACCTGGGATCTTGTTAAGATGCAGATTGTGATTTGGCAGGTCTAAGGTAGGGCCTGAGATTCTCATATGCTCTCAGGTGATGCCAAGATGCCACTCATCTGTGAGCCGCACACTGAATAGCAAGGCAGTAGGAGAGGAAGGAGTCTGGAGGCTCAGAGAAATGAGAAGGCTAGAATGTTGAACTTGAAGCCTGTTCAACCACCACCGAGCCACCTGAAGTGCACTTCACAGAGGCAGGAGAACATGCACTGGCAAGGGGAGCACCTGAATCTTTGGAGAGCTTTGAGGTGACTGTCCTCCTAAGGTCAGAGATGACAGTGGTGGTGCTGCAATGAAATTGGTTTCCCTGGTCTTAATGGGATCACCAGAGACAAGGTAAATGCAAACTTCTCAAGTCCTGAGGATGGAAAGATAATCAGTGTTTTACACGCAGAGATCTGTGGCAATGGATAATGGAATACCAGATTCTTAGAGATGAACTTACTAAGTACTTACTTAGTAAGAGCTTACTAAGTACTTCTTTATAAATACAGGGAGAAAAACTCTAGCTCTGCTGGACAGAAACCAAACTTGCATCTTTATAGTAGAATACATGGCCCCTTATCCATCTCCCAAACCTATGCCAGTTCACAGACCCAGAACCTTTTGAGAAAAGGACCCTGTGACTTTCCCCAAGCCTGGAGGGACCAGTGACCATTAATCAGGGTGACTGAGTGCTGGGGAAAGGGAAATATCCAGCTCTTTGGGGGATTTTAAAATACTGAGTCTATTATAATTATCCCTAGAGACCAGAAATGCTGCCTGGGTCTACTTTCAGAGTAGGTGCTATGGAGATCAGATGATAAACACTTGACTTGAGTTCATCTAACAAGGCATTCCATGAGACCACAGAGCCGTGTGACCCCCTGTCCCAGATTGTGTAGTGCAAGGAGATATACCCAGTGGCTGGCAGAGTCCCCTTGTCTGTTCTCTGAGGACTATGATTGTAGGAAGGACCGTGTGGAAGCCTCTGATACTAGCCCCTGCTTCTCTGCCCCCATCCTAAATAGAAAACCAAAGCAATGTTTTACTCCATTAGACAGTCCCCCAAAGCATACCTCTCTGGCGTCCCTCTTACTTCTAACCCTCTGCTTTTCCTCCTCAAACTCTTTGAGTGTCTTGTTCCACTGCAGATCCACTCCCCCATGGCAACCTGCTCCTTTCTAAGGATCCATGTTGTCTTCACAGAAACTTGCCTCTCCTTGGTCCCAGCTTGCTTGAAACACGCTCATTACCCCATACTCTAGAGCAGGGGTCCCCAACCTGTGGAGAGTTGTGTAATTATTTCATGATATAATACAATGTAATAATAATAGAAATAAAGTACACAATAAATGTAATGTGCTTCAATCATCCTGAAATCATCCCTCCCTCCCTGGTCCATAGAAAAATTGTCTTTCATGAAAACAGTTCCTGGTGCCAAGAAGGTTGGGGACCGCTGCTCTAGAGAGATTGTAATCCATCATTATTGGCATATTGAATTTCTCCTTAAAATTTAAAAAGATTCTTAAATCACAAAAGTAAGACATGTTGATTGTAAACCACTACAACAATACAGAAGCATATAGACTAAGTCTCTTTTACCTTTCTTTTCTCCAGAGGTAAATAGCATTTTCTATTTATTCACACACACAATCTGAGATAAGGCTTTGTTTATTGTAAATGAAATCATTCTGTTCCTATTATTTTGTGACATGGTTTTCTCACTCAACAGTATACCATAGACTTCATATTACATTATATAGATCCATCTTATTTTTCCCCCCACCCTTCCACCTTATTTTTTTAATTAAACTTTTTATTTTGAGATAATGGTAGGATCACATGCAATTATAAGAATGATTAGCTGGGCACACAGTATTGTGCGCCTGTAGTCACAGCTATACAGGAGGATCGCTTGGGCCCAGGAGTTCAAGTCTAGCCTGGATAACATAGTGAGACTCTTCTCTATTTAAAAAAAAAGAGAAAACAGAAAATGGTACAGAAAGATCTCATGTCCCCTTTACCCAGTTTCCTCCATAGAAACATCTTACAAAATTATAGTATAGTATCAAACCTAGGATATTGACATTGATGTAGTCTATCACTCTTCAGACTTTCCCAGTTTTACCTGTGCTCATTTGTGCGTGTGAGTGTTTATTTCTATGCAACTGTATCCCGTGTGTGGGTTCATCTATCCACCATCACTGTCACAATGCAGAGCAGTTTTGCCACTGAGGAGGATCTCTCGTGTTGCCTTTTTATGGCCACCCACTTCCCTCTTGCCTCTTCCCCCATCCCTAACCCCTGACAGCCACTCATCTGTTCTCCATTTGTATACTTTGGTCATTCCAGAAATGTTATATAAATGGAATCATATAGTTTGTAGCCTTTTGGAATTGGCTTTTTTACTCAGCATAACTCCCTGGGGATGTATCCAAGTTGTTATGCATATCACCTTTTTATTGCTAAGTAGTGTTCCATGATGTGGATGTACCACAGTTTGTTTAACCACTCAACCATTCAAGAACATCTGGATTATTTACAATTTTGGCTATTATGAATAAAGCTGCTATGAACATTTATGCATAAGCACATTTAGTAAAATTTGGTATAATTTTTTCCTAGAACTACCCTGCTCAATTATGGCAAAATAAATTCTACTAATCATAGGCTGCATAACTTTGAAATTGAGCACAGTTTTTTGGACTGAGATGCTTTTTAATCAGTGTTTGGTCTTCTGTGGGGCATTAGGGAATTGGCTTTTTAGTATGAACATGAGCATTTATCCCAGAAAAATAAAAACTTAAGAGTATAATTGCTGAGTTGTATGTTAATTGCACATTTAGGGAGAAATGGGCGCATCCACATTCCGATGTAAGTATAATATGGTACAGTATTTTAGGAGGGTGAATTGGCAGTATTTATCAACTTTTAAAGTGCATATAAATTTTAGCTCCATTTTGCTTCTAGAAACTTATCATAGAAATTTTTGTGTGTTTGCTGAAAAATATATGGACCAGGATGTTCATTGCAGGATTATTTGTGCTAAAAAAAATTTAAACAACCAAAATGTTTGTATGACACAATATGTTACAGCTCTTTATTTTTTTAAAATTTTTTTTTGCCACTCAGTTGGGTGAAAATTATCATCTTGTTTTTTTTTTTTTTTTTTATTTCAGCATATTATGGGGGTACAGATGTTTAGGTTACGTATGTTGCCCTTGCCCCCCCGCCCAAGTCCGAATTTCAAATATGTCCATCCTTCGGATGGTGCGCATTGCACTCTTTGTGTATGCAAATACCCGTCCTCTCCTCCCTCCTCCCCCCTCCCCCCCTCCCCTGCTCAACATCCAATAGATGTTATTCTTATATGTGCATTTATGTGTTGATCAGTTAATACCAGTTTGATCATCTTGTTTTAATTTGAAACTCCTATAGGAATTAGAGTTATACATTTTTTTCCCCTCGAGATCTTTTATTATTTGTATTTCTTCTTCTGGGCCCAATCATCATGTTTTCTGCACAAAATACACATTTGAGTGGTTAGTTTTTTATGGTCAATCATAAGAAATTTATAGGCATTTTTATACAATTGTGGGTATTAATCCTTTATTTGTTTGCTGTTTGACCTTTGACCTTTGCAACATAGAACTGTTAGATTTCTGTGTAATCACAACTGTCACGTTTTTCTTTAAGGCTTCTTGTTTGGGAAGAGCTTTCCTACTTTTCATCTTGGTTTTAGTCCTAT